ACCCTGTCCATGCTGCCCGCTGCCCACCGTGCTCACCCTGCCCATGATTCCTGTGCTTCCCACTGCCCACCCTACTCATCCTTCCCACCCTGCCCACCCTGCCCGCCCTGCCTGCATTGCCAGCACCTCCCGGGATGGATCCTGCCCTTCACCCCAGCTGCAATCCCGTGCCCCAATCCCTTCTCCAGCTCTACCTGGTGCCACCCTCAATGCCACCCGTGTCACCCACACTCCATCCTCACCCCTTCTCTCACCGGTGCCACCGCCCACCTCCCTGCCCCCTTGGCGTGTCCCCTGTCCCCCGCGGGCTCTCAGGCTCGCTGTCTCCCTCAGGGGACCCCGCGGCGGAGGAGTGGTCGCAGTGGAGCGTGTGCTCCCTGACGTGCGGCCAGGGCTCCCAGGTGCGGACGCGCTCCTGCGTCTCCTCTCCGTACGGGACTCTGTGCAGCGGGCTGCTCCGAGAGACCCGCACCTGCAACAACACCGCCACCTGCCCAGGTACGGGGGACACCGGCGACACGGGGGACACCGGCGACACGGCGGGGCTGCTCTGCCGGCTCCCCGCAGGCGGGTGGGCACACACAGAATGCGTTGCTGGCGTGTCCCTGGGGAGTCCCCGGGGTGCTGTGGTGGATGAGAAGGGTGGCTTGGCATGGTTCTGGTGCCCACCCTGCGCCGGGATGCTCCGAGTGCTGTTGGCATCCCTCCATCCTCTTGGGAAGGCACGAGGGAGGTGTCTGGAATGGGCGCCCCGCACCCTGTGCCCTGCCAGCGGGGCTGCCCCGGGGATTTGCCTCGGGAGCTCCTTGCCATCCTCTCCTGGCAAGCTCTGGGATCCTCCTGGATGTCCTCGAGGTTTTGTGCTGGAGCCTGGGGCATTTGGAACCTGGCATTCCCGGCGGTTCTGCTCGGTGCCTCGAGGCAGGTGGCAGGCAGGTGACAGGCGGGTGACAGGCGGGACGCCGAGGGTCGCCTGTCTGTCCGTGGTGCTGTCCGTGCGTCTCGTGTGGGAATCGGAGGGACCTCAGGGTGGCAGCCACACTGCCCTGTCCCAACCTGGGCTGTTTCAAGGGATTTTCACCTCTGGGACACGCAGTGTCCACCCCTCTCCCTACCGGGGGGTGCAGCCGTGTCCTGGCACCCCGAGGACATCGGAGCTCGAGGCGGAGCATCCTTTAGGACGGCCCTTGATCTTTTCCTGGGAGCGCTGAGCTCCCGTGGCTGTGAGGCTCAGACCGTGCTCTGTGCGCTGACACAGACTGGGGTGACCCGCGTGTGACTTTGGGGGGACGTGCGCCGCCAGTGCCGGGACCCCAAAAAGGGAGGCAGGGGGGCGGCAGCGACACCGCTGCCAGCTCAGGGATTTGGGACAATGAAGGGGCAGGCGGAGCTGGGAACTGTGCCCGGCTGAGCCCTGGGCAGGGCACGAGGGGTCTGCCATGGCAGGACCCCTCGGTGCCAGGAGGAGGAGGAGGAGGAGGAGGAGGCTGGAGCCCCTGGGCTGTGCTGTGTTGCAGTTCCCGGCGCGTGGGAGGAGTGGTCCCCGTGGAGCCTGTGCTCGGTGACCTGCGGGCGAGGGGCCAGGACCAGGACTCGGCTCTGCGTGGCCTCGCGGCGCGGAGGGAAGGCCTGCGAGGGCCCCGAGCTGCAGGCCAAGCCCTGCAATATCGCGATCTGCCCCGGTCAGTACCTCCCTCCCCTCCACGCTCCTTCTTCCCGCCGGGAATGCCAGGAGACGGCGCCAGGGCCGCGCTCGCGGTGCTGCCATGGATGGGTGGCACCGCCATGGGGAGCTGGGACACCCGGTGTGACACTGAGTGCACCATCCCGTCCTTGCTGGAAATCCAAAATCGGTGCCTTCGGTCGTGCCGGGGTCTCCAGACCCCAGCGTGGGCAGGGGTCCAGCCTGGGGACCACAGAGGAGGTGGCTCCTTCCCTCCCCGTCTGCTGTGTGTGGCACCGGGGTGGCACTGGGGGGTACAGGGAGGTGACAAAGGAGTCGGCTGCAGGGTCTGTCTGCGCACAGGTGGCAGTGCCACATCTGTCCCTTCTTCCTGTGCACCAGGAGTCGCCGTGGTGCTGGCTGTGGGGTTTCTGCGGTGACAGGCAGGGACGGTGTCGCCATGGGGACCCCACGTGTGACATGGGGCAGCTGGCAGGGAGTTCAGAGCAGGGGGCAGCGTGGGCGCTGTTCCTGCAGCAGCTCTGACAGGGACGTGGCACCCAGGGCACAGCTTTGGCCATGGCAGTCCTGTGGAGAGGCTGCTGGAGCCTTGAGCTTGGCAGGGAATGATGCCAGGGATGCTGGATTTGGCCAGAAGTGATATTAGGGACTCTGGGTTTGGTTGGAAGTTATGTCAAGGATGTTTGGTTTGGTTGGAAGTGACACCAGGGATGATGGATTTGGTTGGAAGTGATGTCAGGGATGTTGGATTCAGCAGGACTGAGGCCAAGGATTCTGGATTTGGCCAGAAGTGGTACAGGGATTCTGGATTTGGTTAGAAGTGATGTCAGAGATGCTGGATTTGGCCAGAAGTGATATTAGGGATTCTGGGTTTAGTTGGAAGTGATGCCAGGGATGTTGGATTTGGACAGAAGTGACACCAGGGATGTTGGATTTGGTTGGAAGTGATGTCAGGGATGCTGGATTCAGCAGGACTGAGGCCCAGGATTCTGGATTTGGACAGAAGTGACACCAGGGATGCTGGATTTGGTTGGAAGTGGTGCCAGAGATGCTGGATTTGGTTGGAAAGCAGTGCCAAGAATACCAGAAATACCAAGTCTGGTGCGAGCAACACTCAGGTCCCCACTCTGATCATGTCCCTCATGTCACAGCCACCGTGGGGGCCAGTCCCAGCGACAACCCAGTCCCACCCAGAACCAGCTGGCACATCCATAGTTTGGACCCGTTGCCCGGCGAGCCCGGCGCGGGTCAGGGCGAGCCGGGGGCAGCGCGGCCGAGCGGCCGCAGTGCAGTGGGAGCTGACTCCGCTCTCCTTGTCCCCGCAGTGGAAGGGCAGTGGCTGGAGTGGGGCGCCTGGAGCCGCTGCTCCGTCACCTGTGCCAACGGCACCCAGCAGCGGACGCGCAAGTGCAGCGTCTCGGCCCACGGCTGGGCCGAGTGCCGCGGTGCCCACGCCGACGCCCGGGACTGCTCCAACCCCACGTGTCCCAGTAAGGCCCCGCGCGCTTTGGGGGTTTTGGGGGAGAGGGGGGACGGCCACGGCACGCAGCGCAACCAGCGGTGTCACCGTGGTGACACCCGCGGTGCTGGCAGCCCCTTCTGCTGTGAGGGAGAAGGAGCTTGAGGGTGATGCCAGGGATCGCCGGGCACGGCTCAGCTGGAGGGTTGGCACTGTCCTCGTGTTGGGTGGCGTTGGGGACCCGTCGGTGCCAGGTGGCTGCGGGTCTCGCCGTGCTTTGGGTGTAAAAGCATGGGGGACACCTCACGTGTGCACACGGGGCTGAGCGTGGGGGACACCGGGCACAGGATGGACCGCGGGGTCCTCATCCTGTCCTTCCATCCTGTCCTGTTCATCCCGTCCTTGGAGCCGCTCCTCGTTCTGTGGGAGAGGTCACGGCATCGTGAGGGAGGTGGTGGCTGTGCCATGGTGCCCATGGATGGTGGCAGGGAACGAGTGGCATCTGCACCAGGATGCCAGTCTGCTCTAAAGGAGATTTCGATCACCGATCCATGGATTTCACACCCCGCGGGATTTCGGCTCACAGCGCACGGTGGGGGGGGCGGGGGCGGGCAGCGCCGGTGGTGCCCTGTCTCCATCCCCGCGGGTGTCACTGTCCACGGGTGTCCCACAGTGTCCCCATCCCCACAGCAGACAGCAAGTGGGGTCCTTGGAACCACTGGAGCCTCTGCTCCAAGACCTGCGACACCGGCTGGCAGCGGCGCTTCCGCATGTGCGAGGGCACGGGCATGCAGGGCTACCCCTGCGAGGGCAGCGGCGAGGAGGTGAAGACCTGCAACGAGAAGAAGTGCCCAGGTACGGGGTACCCCTCACCCCAGAGCCCCTCACCCCACATCTGGGCACTGCTGATCCCCCCTTTCCTCCCCCCCCCAGCTTACCACGAGATGTGCAAGGACGAGTACGTGATGCTGATGACCTGGAAGAAAACGGCTGCCGGGGAGATCATCTACAACAAATGTCCCCCCAACGCCACAGGTGACTCCAGGTGTCCCCAGGGGGTGGGGGGTGGTATCAGGGTCGAGCCGCCCCAAAACCCCGGGGGCAGTGGGTGGCATGAGGGGGACAAGTGGCCCAAACCCCTCTGACCTGGAGATGAGTAGGGTGGGTGGCATTGGGATCGAGCCACCCCAAATCCCCAGGGGCAGAGGGTGGTATTGAGGTCAAACACCCCAAATCCCCAGGGGCAGAGGGTGACATTGGGATCGAGCCACCCCAAATCCCCAGGGGCAGAGGGTGACATTGGGATCGAGCCACCCCAAATCCCCAGGGGCAGAGGGTGACATTGGGATCGAGCCACCCTAAATCCCCCAGGAGCAGAGAGCGACATTGGGGTCAATCCACCTGGAGCAGGGCAGGGGGTGGTGGGTGACATTGGGGTCAAACACCCCTAAATCCCCTGGCCCTGGAGCTGCACAGGGGGCTGTGGGTGGCATCAGCACGCCAGGAAGGGATTGCAGTGCCAGCCCCAATCCCCAATCTCTGTCACAGGGACTGCCAGCCGCCGGTGCCTGCTGAGTCCCCATGGGGTCGCCTATTGGGGTGTGCCCAGCTTTGCCCGCTGCGTGTCCCACGAGTACAGATACTTGCATCTCTCAGTAGGTGCCCGCTCTGGCACGGCCCCTCCTGTCCCCTGTCCCTGTCCCCGGGGCTCTGTCCCATCCCTGGCACCCCAAGAGCCACCTCACCTCTCTGCCATGGGGAAACTGAGGCAGGGCTCGCTGGGTGGGCTGGGAAAGGGGATCCCGTCCATGGGAAATGGTTTTTGGGATGGGAGGGTTCCTTCAGATCCCCATGGAATCCCCTGTGGGGTGGGAATAGGGATCCCATCCTACAGCTGGAGGGGGGTTCTGGTTGGAGTTGTGTTCCTTTGTGTTTGGGAAAAGGGTTTTGGGATGAGGACGATGCCCCCTGACCCCCATGGATGCCCCCAGACCCCCGTGACCACCCACAAACCTCTGTGGGCTTGGGGTAATGTCCCAGAGCTGGAGTGTTTGAGTTGTGATTGGGAAAAAGCAGTTAGGATGAGGAGGATGCCCCTGGACCACCCTGGATGTCCCCAAACCCCTGTGAATGTCCCCAGACCATTCTGCATGTCCCCAAACTCTTGTGAATGGCCCCAGACCACCCTGGCTATCCCCAAACCTGTATGAATGCCCCCAGACCCCATATATGTCCCCAAACCTCTGTGAATGTCCCCAGATCACCCTGGATGTCCCCAAACCCCTGTAAATGTCCTCAGATCACCCTGGTTGTCCCCAGACCACCCTGCATGTCCCCAAACCCCTCTGGACTCCCTCCACCCGCACATCCCGCCGCTGCCTTAATTACCGCAATTAACTCTGCCCTGTCCCCCCCCCGGGGCTTTGGGGACAATAAGGGACACTCAGCACAGAGTGACACCGCTGTCCCCACCCCTGTGCCAGCTGCGGGAACACCTGGCCAAGGGCCAGCGGGTGCTGGCAGGGGAGGGCATGTCCCAGGTGGTGCGGAGCCTGCTGGAGCTCATGGCCCGCAAGACTTACTACAGCGGGGACCTGCTCTTCTCCGTGGACATCCTGCGCAATGTCACCGACACCTTCAAGAGGGCCACCTACATCCCGTCCTCCGAGGACGTGCAGGTAGCGCCCAGGGGGGACAGCCACCCGGGGGAGGTGGCGGTCGCTCGGTCTGTCCCCAGCCCCGCTGAGCCCCGTCCCCGCAGCGCTTCTTCCAGGTGGTGAGCTACATGGTGGACGCGGAGAACCGCGACAAGTGGGAGGATGCGCAGCAGGTGAGTGGAGCACGTGGGTGGTGGCAGTCGGGGATGTCCCCACCAATGTGGTGTCCCCAGCGAGGTGACACGTCCCCCGTGGTGGTTCCACCTCCCGCAGGTCTCTCCCGGCTCCGTGCACCTGATGAAGGTGGTGGAGGATTTCATCCACCTGGTGGGGAACGCGCTGAAGGCTTTCCAGAGCTCCCTCATCGTCACTGACAACCTGGGTGAGCTGCGGGGCGGGGTGGGGACATGAGGCGACAACACAGGAGCGGGAGGTGACACCAGTGTCCCCTGACAGTGACCAGCATCCAGCGGGAGCCCGTGAGCGCCGTGTCCAGCGACATCAACTTCCCCATGAAGGGGCGGCGGGGGATGAAGGACTGGGCCCGCAGCTCCGAGGACAAACTCTTCATCCCCAGGGAGGTGCTGAGCCTCGCCTCGGCCGGTGAGCAGCAGCGCCCAGCTGTGCGCACAGCTGGCGGGGAGCACATCTGGAGGGGTGCGTGTGCCTGTGCGAGTGTCCCTGGAGCACCTGGGTGTGCGGGGCTGCACATCTGGAGGTGCTGCTGCACATCTGGGAGTGGGCGGGTGTGAACGAGCATGTGTGAGCCTGAACTGTGCACAGGTGTGCATGTGTGAGTGCACACCTGGATGTGCACACGTGTGTGAGCTCGTGTGTGAGCCTGCACATCTGGGAGTGCCCGGGGGTGTGCACATCTGGAGGCGTCGCATGCCTGCGCGCACGGGCGTGCACATCTGGTGCAGATGTGGGCTCGCACCTGGCTCCCATTCACACACACACGTGAGCGGCACCCCGGGGCGTGTCCAGGTGACACATCTGGGCGCACATCTGGCCGCCCCATTTGTCCCCTCCCGCGTGTCACCGAGCCCGTGGCTCTCCCCGCAGAAGCCGAGGAGTCGTCGCACTTCGTCATCGGGGCGGTGCTGTACCGCACGCTGGGGCTCATCCTGCCCCCGCCCAGGTGAGTGGCACCGCCCGCGGTGTCCCCTGCTGTCCCCCGGCCTGTCACAGCCCGTGTCCCTTCCCGCAGGAGCCCCCTGGCTGTCACCTCCAAAGTGCTGACGGTGACAGTGCGTCCGCCCACCCGGCCCGCGGAGCCGCTCGTGCTGGTGGAGCTGTCCCACATCATCAACGTGAGTGTCCCCTCCCCTGGCATCGGGAATGTCCCTTCCAATGTCACCAGTGTGTGTGTCCCCTCCCCTGGCATCGGGAATGTCCCTTCCCATGTCACCGGTGTGTGTCCTTCTCCCATGTCACTGTGAATGTCCCTTCCCGCATCACGATGAATGTCCCCCTTCTCATGTCACCAATGTGTCCCTTCCCATGTCACCAGTGTGAGCGTCCCTCTCCCATGTCACCGTGAATGTCCCCACATCACCAACCTGTCCCCGTGTCCGCAGGGCACGTCCCACCCGCAGTGTGTCACCTGGGACTACGCGAGGACGTGAGTGAGGGGACACGGGGACACGGGGACGAGGGGACATGGGGGCACAGGGATACGGGGACACGGGAACATTGTGGTGACAGGGCGGGGCTGGCAGTGCTGGAGGGGCTGCTGGAGGGAACGGGGATGGGAACAGGAAAGGGGGAACTGGGATGGGAGCAGGGACAGGGAACAGGGATGAGAAGAGGAATGGGAATAGGGATGAGGGAACAGGAATGGGAACAGGGATTGATTGGGGCAGGGGTGGGAGAAGAGATGGGAGAACAGGAATGGGGAGCAGGGATGGGAACCGGGATGGAAAGAAGGCTGGGAGAAGGGATGGGAGCAGGGATTGGAGCAGGGATAGGGGAACAGAGATGAGAGCAGGGGTGGGAGAGCAGGGATGAGGGATGGGAGAGCTGGGATGAGGGATGGGAGAGCAGGGATGAGGTCCAGGAACGAGCAGCCGGGACCATCCCTTCCCTTACCCCAGCCCCACCGGCACGGGTGATTTGAGCTCCCGCGGGATCGATGAGGCCCCGGAGCCGCGGGGCCGCCCGCGCCAGGCTGCCAGATGTGATTTGTTAGTGCTGGCAGGAATGAGGGAAAGTAGGGCAGGAAGGGGGGCGGGCAGCGCTGCGGGCTGGGCGAGGGCACTGCCAGCCCCCCTGCCCAGGTAGCCGCGGGTGCGCCGCAATTCGGGGTCACTGGTTCCAGTTCATCCCCCAAACTGGAGGGGAGGAGCTGGCAGTGATGAGCGGGTCTCAGGCCGGCACCGGGGACTGTCCCCAGCTGTCCCACAGACACAGTTTCCCGGTTTTCCTGGCGTGCTGGGAGTTGTGGCGGCTCTCCCTGGGCATGGCAGGGATTCCCCGCTCTCTGATGCCTCAGCGGGGGGGTCCCCATGGCAGGAGGGGTCCCCATGGTGGAGACGTCCCTTCAATGGGAAGGATCCCCATAAATGGAGGGGTCCCCATAAAAGGAGGGGGTTCCTATGGGGTTCCTTTGGTGGACAGATCCTTCTAACAGGAGAGGCCCCCATGACAAAAGGATCCCCATTACAGAAGGGTCCCCAAGGGTGGAAGGAGTCCCCATGAAAGGAGGGGTTCCCATGATGGAGAAATCCCTTTAAGGGGAAGGGTCCCCAAAGGAGGTGGGTCCCCATAAAAGGAGGGGTCGCCATAAAAGGAGGGGTCCCATGGTGGAGGAATCCCTTTAACGGGAAGGGTCCCCATAAAAGGAGGGGTCCCCATAAAATGAGAGGTTCCCGTGGTGGGGAGATCCTTTCTGGCAGGGGTTAGAAAGGATCCTTTTCCCCGTGACAGAAGGGTCCACAAGGGCAGGAGGGGTCCCTATAGCAGAGGGGTCCCCAAAATGAGGGATCCCCATGGAGAGAGGGAATCATCACCCCCTGGGAGGGGACACCGGTGCCAGGGAGCTGTTGGGGCTGTCCCCGCCTGTCCTGGCACTGCCCCCGCCCCTCTCCGCGGTGTTTCCTCCCCCCCCCCCCAAACCCCCAAACCTGTATGGGATGATTAAACCCGCAGCCTTTCCGCTCCCAGCAGGATCATCCCGGAGCAGGGACAGCTTCACCCCCTCCTCCCCGAGCTCGGGGCTGGTCCCCTGGCAGTGCCCCCTACCCTGGGCAGGGCCAGGAAGGGGTTAACAGCGGAGAGGCGCGAGGAGCTGCGCGTGTTTGATCATTTCAAATTGCTCTCCCTCGCTCTCTGCCCATTAATCAGGGATGCTGGCTTGGGAAACTGGGACACGGAGAGCTGCCAAACCCTGGAGACCCTCCCGGCGCACACCAAATGCCAGTGCCGCCAGCTCGCCACCTTCGCCGTCCTCGCCCAGCTGCCCAAAGACCTGGTAGGGGACAGGCTGGGGACAGCCACGACCGGGCTGGGGACACGGGGTGTGGGTATGGGGTGACCCCCGGGCTGAGCGGGGAGGGGGTCCCGAGGGATGGGCACGGAAGGGGTGGGCACTGGAGGGTGGGGGCGTCCAGCACCGGCCAGGGGAAGGGTCCCAGCACCCCCAGAACCTCCAACCCCCCCCAGAACTCCCCCAACACCCCCCCCCAGCACCTTCCAGAACCACCCAACACCCCCAGCAACACCCAGCACTCCCCCAGCACCCCTCAGCATCCTTAGAATCTCCCCAGTACCCCCCAGAACTCCCCAGCACCCCCAGAACCCCCAGCAGGGTGGGTCTGTGTGGGCAGGGGCTGCCAAGGTCCCCAGAGCCCAGTCCTGCGTGCCAGGAGGGGAGGGGGCAGCCCTGCCCCCCCCGCCCAACTGCTGTCCCCATGCTGGCATGGGGTCCCCAAGAAGGTGCCACCACTGTCACCGACCCCCCTGTGGCACCCGGGGGTCCCCAGTGAGGGGGTGGAGGGGGCAGGGGGCTGGCAGGGAGCAGTGAGGGGGGGGGTTGGGCTCAGCCAGTCCCCCCCCGGTGTCCCCCCAGGCCATGGACCCCTCGGGGACACCGTCGGTGTCCTGCATGGCCCTGCTGACCCTGCTGGTGATCTACGCGGCCTTCTGGAGGTGACCCGAGGGCACTTGGGCACCTGGGAACACCTGGAGGGCACCTGGGGGGCACCTGGGGGGTACCTGGGGCCGTGTGGGGAGGAGGTGACAAAGGGGGGCACGGCACTGGGGAAGGCTCGGCAGCATTGGGGTAAATGGGAATGGAAAATCTGAGTGGGAGAAAATGCCTGGGCTGGCCCAGGACAGCAAGGGACAGGGGACAAGGAAAAGGGACAGGGAGGGGGAAAAGGGACAGGGACAGGGAAAAGGGGCAGGAACAGGAACAGGGAGAAGGGACAAGGACAAGGGACAGGGACAGTGGCCCCCCGGCCCCACGCCGCTCCTGCCGCAGGTTCATCAAGTCAGAGCGCTCCATCATCCTGCTCAACTTCTGTGTCTCCATCCTGGCTTCCAACATCCTCATCCTCGTGGGCCAGTCCCAGATGCTCAGCAAGGTGGGTGCCACCACCCTGCCACCACCCTGCCACCACCCTCGGTGGGGTCCCAGGCCACTCGCCTCGTCCCCTGCTGGCTCCCAGCAGCAGATTGGATTTGGATTAACTCGATCCCGGGATTAAATCCCCCGCTCGCCGGTGCCTTTGACACAAACCTCGCCGTGGGCGTGGGGCTTTAACCACTGCGGTGCCAGGCACGTGTCCCTCTGATGTCGCCGTGTCCCCACCCTGCAGGGCGTGTGCACCATGACCGCCGCCTTCCTCCACTTCTTCTTCCTCTCGTCCTTCTGCTGGGTGCTGACCGAGGCCTGGCAGTCGTACCTGGCGGTGATCGGCCGGATCCGGACACGCCTGGTCAGGAAGCGCTTCCTGTGCTTGGGATGGGGTAAGATCCCAGCGTGGGTGGGTGGGGGGCACCCCTGGCACGTCCCTGTTACCCCCCAGGCTCATCAGAGGGGAAACTGAGGCACGGTGCAGGAAAGCAGACCCAGGTGTCTCGGATGGGACACCCTCAGGTCACGGGGAGCTGTCGCAGAGGACCCCCATGGCTGTCCCCACCCTTGGGGCTGGCACGGGAAGGGGGACAATGTCACCTTCCTCCAGCTCCTCCAGCCTCGTGTCCCCTCTCCAGGGTTGCCAGCCCTCGTGGTCGCCGTCTCCGTTGGCTTCACGCGGACCAAAGGCTACGGGACAGCGAGCTAGTACGTGGGGACAGGGGACAGGGGACACGGGGGCTGCTGCGGGCTGGTCGGGAGCAGGGGATGGCGACAGGGCTGTCCCCTGACGTGTCACCCACGGTCCCCTGCAGCTGCTGGCTCTCTCTGGAGGGCGGCTTGCTCTACGCCTTCGTGGGACCCGCTGCTGTCATCGTGCTGGTGAGCTGTCCCCCAAAACTCACCCGAGGGGGGCTGGTGGCAGCTGCTGCCGCGGGCAGGGGGGTCCGTGCCAGCCCTGAGCCCACCCCGTCCCGCAGGTGAACATGCTGGTGGGCATCATCGTCTTCAACAAGCTCATGTCCCGCGACGGCATTTCAGATAAGTCCAAAAAGCAGCGAGCTGGGGCTGCCCCCCGCCCCCCGCCCCCTGCCCGGGGGTCTGGGCATGGGGGGGTGTCCCGGCAGCGCGATGAGGGTGGCGCAGATTTCACCGCATCAGCGGGGGGGCCAAGCCCGGGGGTGAGCGCTCCCCCATTTTGTTGGGGGGGGGTCGCTGGAGGGGCAGAATTTGGGGGGGGCAGCCACCCCCCCGCTCCTTCCCTCGGGGAAGGGGGGTCCGAAGGCCGCATCCCCCTCCCCCCCACTCCGTGCCCGCCCCCTCCCCTGCCGCTTGGCCACCCCCCCCGTCGCCATTAACAGCTGCCGCCCCCGACTAACCCGGCGCTTTCTCTCTCTCTCTTTCTCTCTCTTTCTTCTCCTCCTCCCATTTGCTTTTTGCCTGTGTCCGTCCACCCATCTGTCCATCCATCTGTCCATCCCCTCCCCGCCGTCCTGCCTTGCTCCCCCTCACCCCTTTCCCCTGTGCCTGCATCCCCCCCTTCCCCCCCCCCCCAATTTCCCCTCCTCCTCCCCCCCGGTCCTGGCCCGGTCCTGGCCGCGGGGGCGCCGGGGGGGCGGTGGGCTCGTAGCTCCGAGCCCCCCCCGTGCGGCAGCCTGCTGCTGAAATGCACCAAGTGCGGCGTGGTGTCCAGCGCGGCCATGACCTCCGCCACCGCCAGCAGTGCCATGTTAGTGCCCGTCCCGAGACCCCCGCGCCCCCCGCCCCGAGCACAGCCCGGGGGGGGGGGGGGGGGGGGGCTCTGGGTGTCTCCTCGAGGGGGTTTGGGGTCGGGTTGGGGGTCCCCGAGGGGAAGGAAGGAAGGAAGGATGGAAGGGTGATGCTGTGTGCTCGGGGCGGGGTGTCCCATCACGTCTGCATGGCATGGCTTCCCATGGCAGGTCACCTCATTGCTGGGGTTGGGGGGGCTCTTCTGGCCTTTGGGGGGGCTCGGGGGTGTCCCCGGGATTCTCTTCCCGGCGTGTGAGGCTGCCGAAATCCTCGCTCACGGGGGTTTAGTCACAACAGAGGCAGCCCCAAAATTCACTGCTAAAAAATAGAAAAAAAAAGAGGGAAAAAACCAAAATCCGCTCTCTGCTGTTCTGGTGGTGGTGGCCCCGCGTCCCCCTCCCCAGCACCCTGTGGCTGTGTGGGGACAGGGACACACCTTGTGGGGGGGGACTGAAGCCTACAGGTGCCCCCTCAACCCTCAATTCCCAGCCAGCACTGGCTTGGGGACACCGAGGAAGAGGGGACAGCTGGGTGACACAGCCCCGGCCATGCTTGTGGGGCGCGGGGCGAGGCTCGGGGGGGCTGCTGCAGGGGGCGGGGGGCGGTGCTGGTTTGGGGGGGGGGGCTATCCCGGGGCACCCCCACACCCCACGGGCTCACCCCGGCCCCTCTCTCCCTGCGCCAGGGCATCGCTGTGGAGCTCCTGCGTGGTCCTGCCTCTGCTGGCGCTGACCTGGATGTCGGCCGTGCTCGCCATGACCGACCGGCGCTCCATCCTCTTCCAGGTCCTTTTCGCCGTCTTCAACTCCGTCCAGGGCTTCGTCATCATCACCGTGCACGGCTTCCTGCGCCGAGAGGTGGGGAGGCGCCGGAGGGGCGCCGGGGACCAGCCCTGGCCGCGGGGCCGTGACCGGCTCTGTCCCCGCAGGTCCAGGACGTGGTCAAGTGTCAGATGGGGGGGTGCAGGAGCGAGGAGAATGAAAACTCGCCCGACTCCTGCAAGAACGGGCAGGTGCAGATCCTGGTGAGTGGGTCCCCCCCTGGAGACCCCGCCCGCTGCCCGTGCCGGCCATGCTGCTTCATTTCCCCGTCTCTCTCCTTCTCTTTCTCTCCTCTCTCTTCTCGCTCTCTCCCCTCTTTCTGGATTTTTATAGACAGATTTTGAAAAGGACGTTGACCTGGCGTGTCAGACAGGTGAGTTCTCCTCTGTTGTCACCGTGCCACACCTGCGAGGGACAGGCAGCACCAACCGGGGGGTCCCCTCTGTGCCCCCCACCCTCAGGGCTGGCTCTGACCCCCCCTCCCTGCCCACAGTGCTGTTCAAAGAGGTGAACACCTGCAACCCCGCCACCATCACGGGCACCTTGTCCCGCATCTCCCTGGACGGGGACGAAGACCCCAAGCTCAACACGACCTCGGAGGGCGGCCTGGGCTTCTCCAGCCTGCCAGGGAACATCCCCCCGACCAGCATCCTGGTGCAGGTGCCCAAAATGACGCCCAACGTTGTGGCGGGTCTGACGGAGCTGGGCGAGCCTCCGGCGCAGCAGCTCAGCTTGGAGGCGCCGGGTCCCGTTTACCTGTGCACGGAGAGCAGCCTGAGGCCGCTGGAATACGGCTGGATCCGGGCCCCCGAGCCCCCCCGCGAGAGCGATTACATGATGCTGCCCCGCCGCACCGGCAGCCTCAAGCCCTTCCCCCGGGACGAGGGCACGCTCGGTGCCGGTGCAGAGGAGGCGGTGCCCGGCGGGACGGGGCGCCCGGCGGCAGAAGGGGATGCCTATCCCGGTTTTGTGGCCGTGGATCACGTCAATGTGAACCTGAACCAGCCCTACGCCACGGTGAAGGCTCCCTACGGCCTCCAGTTCAAGCAGCATCCCACGGTGAGGCAGATCCTGGCCTCGGAGCTGTCGGAGCGCAGCCGCACCATGCCCCGCACCGTGCCCGGCTCTGCCATGAAAGTGGGGTCCCTGGAGGTGAGCGGGGGGCTGGTGCTGTGTGTGGGGGTGGGAGGTGTGTGCCAGGACACGCGTGCACGTGTAGGGTTGCATGGATATCCCCCCCCCCGTGCCATCCCCCTTGGCCATCCCTCCTTTGGGGGGATGAGCTCCGTGTCCCCCAGCCGGGCATGGATTGGGGCTGGCATGAGCCCCTAAAGCCTGATTCGCCCTCATCCCGGACCTGCAAAGACTTTTCCCTTTTCTTCTCCGTCTCCTCCCCCTGCTCCTGCCTGTCCCCCTGCCAGAGGAAGAGGTTGCGGTACTCTGACCTGGACTTCGAGGTAAGTCCTGCCATGGAGGTGACACCGGTGCCATCGTGGGGGACTGATCCAGTTTGTCCCCACTCCCTTTACCCCTCCGGCAGCTCTGAGGGGTTTAGACCAGGCAGTAACAAGCGTTGGCTCTGGATTAAAACACCGATGACGAGCGTGGAGTGGGCTCTGCTGCTTGTCCGGGATGGCCCAGGAAGGCAGGGACGGGGACAGGGACAGGGACAGTGACAATGCCGAGGGACAGCGGGCAGCGCCGGTGGCCACAGGCTCTGCTCTGCCCCCGCAGAAGGTGATGCACACACGGAAACGCCACTCCGAGCTCTACCACGAGCTCAACCAGAAATTCCACACGCTGGACCGGTACCGGGCTCCGTCCACCGGCTCCTCCAAGGTGAGGTCCTGGAGGTCCCATCCTGCCCTGCTCTGAACCCTTTACCTCCTCCTGCATGGACTGTGGCACCCCGAGGAGACTGGGGACACCTCGGGGAGGCTGGGGACACCCTGGCGAGATTGGGGACACCCAGGGGCGCGCCAGGGCTGAGCGCTGGGGTTTTTCCGCAGCGAGAAAAGCGGTGGAGCGTCTCGTCGGGCGGCGGGGACAAAAGCACGGGCAACGTAAGTTCCTTGAGATCCTCCTGGGGGTTGTGCCATCCCATCCTGGAAGGGCTGGAGGTGGCTGTGGGACAGAGCCAGGTCACAGCTGCCCCTCACCCCGCAGGATGTCCCCGAGGAGCAGCGGCCGAAGGCTCCGGCCGCGCCGCCCAAGCCATGGAGCACATTCAAGGCGATGACACTGGGCTCGCTGCCCAGCGCCCAGCGGGACCGGCTGGAGCTGTGCCGGGCAGACTGGGACAGCCCCTGTGCGGGCCTGGACGCGGCCGATGGCGACTTCCAGACGGAGGTGTGAGCCCCGCGCCCATCGCCGCCGCCTCCGCCCCGTGCGCGGCCCCCGGAGCCGCCGCGCTGGGTTTGCTCCGTGCTCCGGGGCAGCCGGGGTGAGGTGGGGAGGGGGTCCCTGCCTGGCCGGAGCCGTTTTACCCCCCGGCAGAGCCGCCTCCCACTCGTCCTCATGCGGTTCCTCCTCCTGCCACCCCCCCGGGCGCGGGTGTGGAGGGGACCCGCGCCATCCCCCCCTCCCCAAAACGCTCACCCACGCTCACGCCTGCACCCTCCCCGGGGCAGGACCGGCCGTCGAGGCCCTCAAACCTTTGTTCTTTTCTACCGGGATGTTTCTTCACGCCGTGCACCGTGTGCACGCGAGCGGCCGCCCCCCGGGACTTTCCCCCGCCCTCTCCCCCCCAAAAACCCCGGGACCCCCGCGGCCGCCCCCTCCCAGCCCTCCCCACCGTCCCCACCCCACGGGGCAGGTGCTGTCGTTGTTGGAAATAAAATTTCACTCTCTGTGGTGCCGTGGGGCCGCGGCCGCCGCCTCGTGCTTCGCCTGGGGGTGGCTGTCACCCAGTGGGGACCCCCCCCCGGCTCTGTCTACCCAAAAAAATCCCCCCCGAGCAGGGCTGATCCTGCAGCCACGCGCTGCAAATGAGCATCTGATCACCGCAGCCGGGAGCAGTAATTATATATTAATTAATCTGTGAGGAAATTAGGAAGTTCAGAGGCCACCCAGCTCCAGGTGGGCTGCCCGGCACTGCCGGAGCATCCTGGAATCCGGAGCTGGGGCAGGAGGAGGAGCAGCTGCGGGTGGGAATGCCCGGAGCAGGAGCTGTGTCGCGACAGAGGTGCTGGAGGAGAGGACATCTCAGCTTGGCGGCTCTCAGCACATCTGGGATGAGAGATTTTGATCCGTGGTGTGGATCACGGCACCAAAACCTCGTGCTGTGAGTGATCACGGCACCAAAACCTCGTGCTGTGAGTGCCATGGCTGTGCCATGCTGGGAGCAGATCCCGCTCACGGCTGCTCCTTCCCTCTGGGAAAAGCCCCCCGAGCTTCCCGAGGGCTTCCCTTGGACAGGACAGGCCTGGAAAGAGCAAAGGACACTGCCCAGTTTGAGTTGGTCACTGCCCAGTTTGAGTTGGTCACTGTCCAGTTCGGGTTGGTGGTCACTGCCCAGTTTGGACCACGGGACAGGACAGGAGATGCTGCTCCTAGCCCCACAGTGCCTGTGCTGGGACACGGGGACACGATGTGACCCTTGGGGTGGGGGAGCCTGTCCCCAGCCCCCAGGGGATGGCAGTACCAATGTCACCTCCCAGTTCATCCCAGCAGCGCCCAGTTCGGGTTTGGGGTGCAGGAAGAAGCCATTTGGGGGTTCCAATGTGGTGATGGGAGTGAAGAGGAGGGTGGGGGAGGAGCCAAATTATTCCACTGCCACCTCCTAAGGGGGATCCAGCTGCCCGGGGAGGGCGCTGGAACGGGCACGAGGATTTTGGCTGCCCATGCCAGGGGTCAGGACCGTGGGTGACAGGTCCTGGCACTGCCAGGGGCTCGCCCATGGCTCCCAGCCCCATGGAGGGTGTGGGTCAGGGGCACCATCCCCTCCTTGGGGTGTCCCTAATTCTGCTGGTAAAGGCAGCCACATCCTCCGGCTCTGGTTTCTGCCACGCACTGGGATCCCCCCGCCCCCTGCTCTGGGGGATCCGGGGCCTGCTCCAGCTCCCCTCCTCTCCTTCCCAGCCAAACACAGCCGCGAGAGGCAGCGTCAGGGTTTCCTGGGGCATCTGTTGGCAATTAGCAGCTTTTATTACTCATGGAGACGCCAGATGGGGCGAGGGAACGGAGCCCGGGAGAGAGGCACAGGCTCGTGGTGTGTCCCAGCAAAAGGGGACAAGGGACAGCCCCGAATCCCGCGGGATGGGGGGTACAGGGTGGCTCAGAGCAGATCCCAGAGTTCCGGAGTCATTTTCCATCTGCAGCTCCCAGGCTGTGTCCCCCCCCACCCTCCCCGTGCCAAAAATGTGCGGTTTAGGGGGGAGGAAATGATGGAGAAGCGGCTCTGAGGCTGCGCGGCCGCGGGGGGGGGGACGGGAGAGCTTCGCCCGAAGAATTGGGAAAGAAATTTCACCAAAAAGAGGCAAAAGTGCTGCTCTAGCACCGCGCATACAAACGGCCCGACGAAGCTGGAAAGAATTCCTGCAGGCGCTTTCCTTCCTGAGTGGAATTAGGCGGGGAGGGGCGGGGGGTGGAAATTGTGCAGAAATTAATGCTGAGCCGCTGAAATCCTCGCCGCAGGAATTCCCTCCTGCGCTTTGGCCAGGCCGGCAGCTGCCTCTGAGCCAACGCGGTCCCGGACGGCGTCATCCCAACCCTCATTCCCTGGATTTGGGGAACTTTTTGGGGGTGCTGAGCTCGGTGGGAGAAGTGAGGAGCCTCAGGGTAACAAAACCGCCGCGGTGACTCTTCGGGCTGGGAGGCAAAATTATCTCCAGCCCGAAAATTGTCGGGCTCTGCTCCGGCTCGTGTTTTTTGGCAGGCGGCGCGGCAGTTTCTTGGAAGCACAGCGTGCCTCTGCTTTTTTTCCATGCTGGGATGGTGGGCAGGGGCTCCAGGATCCTGCTTTCCATCCCCCCGCTCGGCGCCGCTCCAAGCGAGAGTTCTGGGGAGGCGGGATCCAGATTCTTCTTCCCTCTGGAAATGCCGATCCCGTGCACGCTGGAACAGCAACGGGAAGCGGGAGCTGCGCGGAGCGGAGTTTTCCAAGCTGCTGCCACCCCTGGGGATATCGGGGTCGCTTTGTGCCACTGCGCTGGGGACAACCAGAGGGACACCTTGGGAAGTGAGGGAAACTGAGGCACGGGAAGGGTGCCTCGGTTGTAACCCCTCCAAAATGTTTTGCAGATGAATTGAGGATCCTGCGAGCTGGAGAGGATGAGGCTGCCCTTCATCCCTGCTCTGCTGTGGGGTTGGGATGGGGTGTGGGGCCAGTTTTGGGGCCTTGCCCCCCACTCACAGGACACACAGACCCCCCAAGCGCTCCCGGCCCAGGTTCATCGCTGCTGGGTGGCCCCAAACAAAGAACAGCTCGAGGTGAACAATCATCGGGAACGAGAGAAGTTTCGCTGTGTTTTCGTTCCCACTTGCTTTAATTACCCTTAATTACCTCAGCGGGCACCTCGCGGGAGCGTTGTCACCACGTCGCAGAGACTGGGGTTGCCCACGACAGCTAATTTACTGCCGCTGCTTAACTAGCAGTTGTTAATTAGCGAGTTTATGGAGATCCATGCGTCCCTGTAAAGCTGCAGCTTAAATAGATCCATCACAATTTGGGAGAAAACGCAGCTGAGCCATCCTAAGGGTCCTGTGCCATCCCAGCACGGCGATGCAGCGATGGAGATGCCAACAGATGCTTCTCACCCCCCTAGACCCAACATTTTGCCAGCTGGGCTCGTTCCCTGCCTGTTTTTGGGGAATCAGGGCGGCGTGGCACGCTTGGGAATGGGAGGATGGAGCAGAGCGGGGCAGCCAGGCCCCGGGGCACAATTCCAGGCTGGCACGTCCCAGCGGCGCGGGGCTGGATGTCGGGAGCTGGGATGGGCGCCGGATCCCTCCGGGGCTTGGCAGGGCTCTGGGAAATCAGCAGCGCTGCTGCTGGGGACGTGGGAGCAGCGGCGGTGCCAGCGGCAGGGACGGTGGTGGCAGCGATCCCGTCTCAGCGCTCTGACCCCGGGGCACCTCGCCCTGAGAGCCAGACTGTCCCCAAGGCACCCCAAGGAGCAGGGAGGGGACAGCAGGTCCGTGTCACACAGCGGGCTGGCTGTCCCAGAGCCTCGGGGTCTGCCCGGAGCTGCTCCTGGCGTGGTGCCAGGGCAGGAGCATCCTTGAGGGCCACCGTCCTTCATTCTGGCCAGAGGTGCCACCACCCCTGTCAGCACCCGCTGCTGCTCTCGGCTCCCTGTGGGGAGGAAGGGACGGCTACACCCCACCCCCGGCATTGGGGTTCCCCTCTTCTGGGCCGGGATCCAAAGCCGGGAGGGGGGGAAGGAGGGTGGGGAGAGAGGAAAGCGCTGCCGGGGGCGGCGCCCGGGGGAGGAGGAGGAGGAGGAGGAGAAGGAGAAGGGCGGAGATGCGAAGGCAGGCGGCGGCCCGAGCCCCCCCGGGTTTGGGGGGGTGGTGCGGAGGGCGGGCAGCGCTTGGGGGGCGGCTCGGGCTCCCCCCGCTCTTCTCCGGAGGGAGGCGGGGAAGGCGGCGGGGGCGGCGCGGCGGCTCCCGGTGTCCCGCGGCGGAGTTCCCGGTGTCCCGCGGCGCAGTTCCCGGTGTCCCGCACCCCCTGTCCCCGCCGAGCCCCGCACAGGTGAGCCCGGGGCAGCCCCGCACCGGGGGCGGGCGGAGCTCGGAGGAGCCCGGCCCTGCGGCGGGACGGGACGGGACGGGACGGAACGGGACGGGACGAGGGGGGATTCCCCGTTAATTACCGGAGTTAATGACGCCCCGGGGCCGCGGGGACCCGCCGGTGCGGAGGGTGCGGAGCAAGGAAGGCGAGGAGCGGGCTGGGGGGAGCCGAGCTGGGGCTGGGGGGGTGCAGGCAATGCCAGGCCAGGGTGGCAGCGCAAGGGACAACTGTGAAGGGGTTGGGGACAGGCGGGCTGGGAGCCTGGGGGATGCGGGAGAGGCAGGACAGGGGTGGCCCCGCTGCCGGGGGTCCCGGGGCCTGTGCGTGGGATGGAGAACAGGGATGCACGTCCCGCTCTGGCAGCAGCCCCTGGAGCCGAGCGTGTCCGGTCTGTCCCGGCCCCGGCTCCCTGCCTGCAGCCCCAGCTTGCCTCGTGGCAGGAAGCAGGAGGGAGGTCAGGTCGGGGTGACCTGCAGGGACACCCCGGGATCCACAGGGAGACAAAAATGGGCGATGGTGAGACCTTCCCGGGTGGGTGCACGCAGGAGGTGGCCGGTTCCACTCTGGGGAACCTCAGTCATGGCATTTCTGAATGTTTGGGCTAAATCCCAAGTATAAATCCAAATCCGGGTGCTGGGCTTTGACACCCAGGGATGCTGGGATGCTGAGACTGGGGGTGTGTGTGGAGCAGATGCATGGGGGACACTCTGACCCCCCAAAACATCACCGAGCCACGGCCAGGAGGGTCAGCGCCACTCCATGCTGGTGGCTTTCCTGGTGTGGGCAACCTCACGGGCTGGTGGCCACCAGGTGCCCATCCCGCTGCTGCCCGGGGTGTCTCCCTTGCAGGCGGCCGTGCGGGCCCTGAGCCTCTGCCACGGGCACCATGAGGGGTCTCTGGGCCCTGGCGCTCGCCGGGCTCGTCAGCGCCTGCCAGGGGAAGGAGCTGCTGCCAGCCGAAGGTAAGGACCACCAGGGATGAGGGCTTTCCAATAATCATTTCTCTGTTGATTGCTATTTTCCCAGAATTTGGATATTTCTGGGATCCCATAGTAATTGAAAAAGCCCGATTATTACATTGAAAAAGCCCGATTTCTTCATGACATTTAGGTGGCTTGGGAGCCACCTCCCTCCTTGCCTGTCTGGGGCAGACCCTGGTGGCCGGAGACACCGTGAGCTGTGCCAGGTCCCCACGTGCCCGGCCTGCAGCGGTGGCTGCGGACTGAGCAAATCTCAACATCACATGCGGGCAGGGGGCCAGGGAGAGCCGAGCCGAGCGAGCCCGGGACACCCCGACACCGCCCCCACAGCCTTGGCCATCAGGGAGGGATGGCGCTTGGCCACTGTCCCGCCAGGGGACACTCGGGGCCAGCCAGGGCAGCGTGCCCGGAGCCGGGTCCGGGCGGGGCAGGTGAGCCAGGACCACTCCGGGCAGGGTGAGGATGCCCAGAGCTCCCGATGGAGTCGGGAAGAGGTCTGGCCATGATGGTGGAGGGCTGGGGGGTGTCCAAGTGCGGCTGGGGACAGGGGGACATGGCTGATGTCCCCGGCCTGCGTGTGGGTCCCGATGAGCTCCGTGCTCCAGGGGAGGAGCCGAGGGGAGCGACGCCGTGGTTGCATCAGGCTCGGTGGGGGTGGAGCGGTGGCTCGGCTCGGGGGGCCCGGGTTTGGCCAGGAGGAGACCCTGTCACTGTCATTGTCACTGTCATTGTCACTGTCATTGTCACTGTCATTGTCACCCTCTCCTGTTGCCCGCCACGGCGTGGCCTCCCGTTGTCCCGGCCTTTCCTGAGGGACAGAGGCTTGGACAGGCGAGATTTTCACTTGGGATCCCCAGCAGGGCTGGGAGAGGCTCCAAAGGGGTGATTTATGCTCGGTTTGTGTCCCCTGCCCTGCTGAGGGCGATGTCAGCCCCAGGCTTTGACATTCACAGCTCCCACTGCTGTGGCTGTGGCTGGTGTCCCCTGGTGTCCCCACGCCGCTGCTGGCCCTGTGCTCAGCCTGGGGCACAAGTTGGTGGACAGAGGGTCTGGGGCGGTCAGAGACCCCCCAAGGAACACCCACCAAGGAAGAGGTGGGAGAATTTTTGGTGCCCATCCCTCTCCAGGTCCGGTTTACGTGGAGACAAAACGAATCCCTCTCTCCCTCCCCCCTTGTTTACTCCTTTATCTCGCACCTCCCAACATCTGGCGCATCTGGAGGTGGCTCGGTGCTGCCGGAGCCGTGATTTATCCCTGCGAACAGCAGCAGCACCCCCGTGACCGCGCCTGACACGGCATTTCCTGCGCCTCAGCCTCCGCCTGGGTCCTCTCGCCTGTCCCCGAGGGCCACCAGCTCTGGGATGGGACAGGAAAGGGCAGCTCTCGGTGCCACTGTGGGTGTCCCTGGCACCCGTCCGAGTGTCCTGATGCTGATTCCAGCCGCGGGGCTGTCTGGAGGCAAAACAGAGCTGGGGAAAGCATTTCACCTGCGGGAGGCGACAGGGCCAGCTCTGTCCCCTCCGAGCTGCTCCTGGAGCGCTCCAGCTCCGCTCCACTCCCGGCAGCTGCTGTGGGAGCGGGGTTTGCTCGGTCTGCGCTGCCTCGGGGGGCTCCTGGCAGCACCCCGAGACCCTCCTGGGCTTGGGGAGCTCTGTGTGCTCCCACTTGGGGACACTGCAGTGACACTGATGTGCTTCACAGGGGAGCTGTGCCCGCAGCTCTGGGACGAGGATCTGGTTGGGGACAAATACGAGAATGTCACGGGTAAGGAAATTCCCTCTCAGGGGTCTCCTGACACCCCGGGATGGGCTCTGTGTCCTGCCTGGGGACTGTCACCTGTCACCTATCCCAGGTGTCATGTCCCTCGCTCTGTCCTGCAGGTTTTAACCTGATTAAAAGGTTCGACTTGCTGAAGATCTCGTCCATCAAGAAGATCCGCAGCGCCCGGGGGCCGGCGGTGCTGCGCCTGGGCACCGTGCCCCTGGTCCAGCCCACGCAGTGAGTGGCCCTGGGTGACCCAAGAGGTGGCCTTGGGTGACCCGTGAGGTGGCCCTGAGTGACCCTCAGGTGACCCAAAGCTCCTGCAGGCACCATCCCCGGGTGTTGTAAATTTGGGGGCTGGGTAGACTTTGCCCTTAGCTTGTGCCAGGGATGCCAGGGAGCTCCGTGTCACCCGTGGGGACACTGGGGACACTGGGGCTGCCCCAACACCTTCCTCCTCGAAAGTAAACCCCGGACTGCCGCGGTTCTGCTGGGTGGTGGCCAAACCCTGAGCAAGCAGGGCTCTGTGGCTGCTCCGTGGTTGCTCTTGGGGTCCAGACGAGCTCCAGAGGCTGCTCAGCTCCGAGCAGGCACTGCTGGAAGTGTGGGGGGCTGCACAGGGGGACTGTCCCCTGTCCCCTCCGTCTCTGGTGCCCACAGTGCCAGGGCTGGCAGGGATGCTGCAGCGTGGCAAAGCAGGAGCAGATCCAGGTCCTCGGGAGCTGTTCCTGCAGGAAATGGCTGCGGTTTGTCCCCACATCGCCCCGGGGCTGGCACAGAGCTGTGCCGGGCATGGGGCTCTCCCGAGGGCGAGGAGATCCAGCCTGGGCAGCCAAATCCTTGCATGGTTTTGGGATGGGTGGAGGATGCTCCAGGCTGCTGTTGCTCTTGGCCGGGGGCTTCTGGCATCCCAGATCCAGCCTTGGGGACAGCCCCGTAGCCAGGCTGTGAAATCCTATGGGTGCCCACCCAGCTCAGTGGCCAGTCAGGGTGTCCCCGTGCCCCGTGGAGCGCTGGTCTTGCCCCAGTCCCCATCCCTTGGCCCAGCTCCAGAGCAGTGGCTTGGAAAGCCGCGGGTTGTGGAGCCAAGGCCGGGAGCGGAGCAGAGCCCGGAGCAAATCTTTCCAGTGGTTTAATTGCTGTGGGCGAGCTGGGGAAAGGCTGCCACGGCTGCCTTGGGGATGATGGATGCGTTTCCTGGCTTTCCAGGGACAAAATTTTGGGATAAGTGCACAGCCCTGGGCTCTGCTATCACCCCAGCAGGGGCATCTTTGGGGTGCAGTGTGGGGCTGAATCCACTGGGATGGCATCTGGGGTGCCAGCAGTGGGGACAGATCACGGCAGGACCCACGGGGGATTGTCGGGGTGATGCTGCCACCTGGAAGTGCCCTGTGGATGGATGTCACCAACCCAGAGCACCCCAACACCTTTCCCCACAGGCAGGTGTTCCCTCGGGGGCTGCCCCCCACCTTCACCCTGGTTGTCACCTTGCTGCTGAAGAAGAACAGCACCGGGGAGCACTGGTACCTGTTCCAGGTCACCGACCGGCAGGGATACCCCCAGGTACATCCCAGGGATGTGTCAGGACACACCAGGGGACAGCCAGGAGCCATCCCTCAGTGTGACACTGTCCCCTTTGTGCCCAGCTCTCCCTGTCCGTGCACGGCCCCGAGAAAAGCCTGGAGTTCCAGGCCAGGGCGCCGGGGACCACCTTCGTCAGCGCCGTCTTCGGGGGCAAGGCCGTGGCGTCCCTGTTCGATGGGCGGTGGCACAAGGTGGTGGTGGCCGTGCAGGGCCACGCCGTGTCCGTGCACCTGGACTGCGCCTCCATCTCCTCCAAGCCGCTGGGGCCTCGGCGAGCGCTGGCCCCGGAGGGCAACACCTTCCTGGGGCTGGATGCCGTGCGGGGCAGCCCGGTCCGGGTGAGTGGCTGTGGGGTCAGGGCAGCTCTGCCTGCGGGGTCGGGGCCAGTCCTGACCCCCCGCCCGTGTCCCGTCCCGCAGTTTGACATCCAGCAAGCCCAGATTTACTGTGACGCCGAGCTGGCCAGGCAGGAGGGGTGCTGCGAGATCTCGGCCAGCGGGGTGAGTGACCCCGACTGCCACCGAGTGTCCCTGAGTGCCCTCGAGTGCCCCTGAGTGCCCCTGAATGTCCCCGAGCTCCCACCCCAATCCCAGCCGGTCCCTGGAACTGCCCAGTGCGCGCTCAGGGGACACCAGGTCTGTCCCCTTTGTGTCACCGCCTGGTGCTGCCTGTCCCCACCGTCCCGGCTGTCCCCCGGCAGCCTCCGTGTGACCCCGCTGTGTCCCTGCAGTGCCAGACGGAAGCGCCCAAGACTCGGCGGCAAGCGGAGCTGATGCAGAGCAGCAACCTCATCGAGATGGTGCCGCAGCCCGAGGGCCGGGTGTTCACCCGCTGCTTCTGCCTGGAGGAGCCGCTGGGCACCGTGAGCTCCGGCAGCGCCACCTCAGCCCTGTCCCTGTCCCATCCCTGGTTCCGATCCCATCCTCACCCCCAGCCCCATCCCGGCCTATCCCTGTCTCCATCCTCATCCCCGGCCCCATCCCGGTCTCCATCCCCGGCCCCATCCTGCTCCCATCCATGTCTCCATCCCAATCCCAGCCGTATCCTGATCCCATCCCTGACTCCGACCCCATTCCCCACCCCCGGCTCCATCCTACTCCCATCCCCGTCCCTATCTCGGTCCCATCCCAATCTTCATCCCCATCCCCGGCCCCATCCTTGTGCCATCCCAGTCTCCATCCCTATCCTGGGTTCCCATCCCTGTCCCGACTCCATCTCCATCCCGATCCCCATCCCCATCCCCGTCCCCATCCCATGCCTGGCCCGATGTATCCACGTTGATCCAGCCCCTGGAAATTCTCTGTCTCCCTTTTTCCAGCCGGAGGGAGGCTCGGGAGGGCGCTGTCCGTGTCCGGAGGGAATGAGGGAGGGGGAGGCTCCTGTGGTGCCAGCGCTGCCCCATCCCTGGGTGCCCGGGCAGGATAACCCGGGATTCCCGGAGAGGGGTGGGACAATCCCGGCAGGTACCACCAGCTGCTCTTCCCTCCCTACAGGAGCCGGGGAGAACCTCGGGAAGGACCAGCCTGAGGGACGATCCCAAAGAAAAGGTGAGGGTGTCCAAACCTGGCACACGCAGCTCTGCTCCCCTTCCAGCGCCATCCCAGGGTGCCACCCGCTGTCCCAGACCCAGGCTGGCTTTGTCCCTGCCACATTTGGGAACTCCCGGCTGCTCCCAGAGCTGCAGGAACTCCGGGAGGAGCGGCTGCTCTGCTTCCCCGAGCAGGAATTGAGGCCCCACTCGCTCTGTGCTGCTGCTGGAGCCATCCCAGCTATGGCCAAGGGCCTCTTTGTTCCCTCCGAGCGGCTCCGGAGCGTTGCCAGAGCTGGGAAACGTCTCCAGTGCTCCTGTTCCTCATCCCTGAATGTCTCTGGGATCCCTGAATGTCTCTGGGATCCCTCATCCCACTGCGAGGATTCATTGCTGCGTTCTGGGGGTGGGATCATGGCAGGGGTGCAGATCAGGGATGGGATCGTGCCAGGGGTGGGATCGTGCCAGGGTGGGGTTTTGGGTGCTGTGTGATTTGAGGGTGCTGTGGGGTTTTGGCTGCTGTGGGGTTTTGGGTGCTGTGTGATTTGAGGGTGCTGTGGGGTTTTGGCTGCTGTGGGGTTTGGGGTGCCATATGGAGTTGTTCTGAGCTTCCATCCCTGTCTCTTCCAGTGCCCTCCCTGCTCGCCCCAGATGGCACCAGGAAATGTGAGTGTGGCACTGGACACGGGCACCCCGAGCTGGCCAGGCTGGGCTGTGACCTGGGGGTGGCAAAAGCCACCGGGGTGCTGCCACCAGCCCCCCACGACCCCACAGCTCCTCCTGGCCCAGCGCCCTGCAACATCTGGGAGGCCCCTGATCCTTTCCAGATGTGGCCCCATTCCTACAGCAACCGCTGGCTGGGGTGTGGGGGGGATGGCAGGGGGACGTTTGGGACCCCTCATGCCCCGTGGTGGCACTTGGGGACAGATCTGGGAGGATGGGGACCGTGGTGGGCTCAGGGCTCTGCTGCTGCTGTTTGAAGCCTCCGTGCCCTTGGGGACACCTTTCTCCTGTCCCCACAGGTCACCCTCGGTCCCCCAGGTCCAAAGGTAGGTTTGTCACCGCCCAGGACACCCAGAGCTCCCGCGGGAATGCGGGAATGCTGTGCCAGAGCATCCCTGCCAGGAGCTGTGGACACACACGGGGACCTGGGGACACCGTGTGCCCCTTTTGTGTCCCCTACCCTGTGTCCGTTGTGTCACTCACCCTGTGCCCGTTTGTCCCCCTCCCTGTGCCCGTTGTGTCACCCACTCTGTGCCCGTTTGTCACCCTCCCTCCCTCCCTCCCTCCCTCTCTTGCAGGGCTCCAAGGGCGAGCGTGGCCTCCCTGGCACTGCTGGTGGCAAAGGGGAGAAGGGTGACCGTGTGAGTGTCCCTGATGTCCCTGTCCCTGGCCTGTCCCCTTCTTCTGGGGACCCTGCGGGGTCCCTGTCCCCCAAATCCCTTCACCCCTGAGCTCCCTCCCTCCCTCTGCAGGGCATGGACTGTGTGCGCACCCACCCCGATGGCCCCGTGCAGGTGAGACCCCCCCAAACCCCCCCAAACCCCCCCCAAACCCCCTCCCCCATCTCTGCCTCCCCTCTCACCTCCTCCTCCTCCTCCTCCTCCTCCCAGTGTGCCGAGGGGCCGCGAGGTGAGAAGGGACAGCGCGGGCAGGTGGTAAGTGACACTGGGGACAAGGAGTGGGGACACTGCGGAGGTGGCCCTGCCCTGGGCTGGGCTGGGCTGGGCTGGGGGGAGGTCCAGCTCCGCGTGGGCATGAAAGGAGCAGGAGGTGACCCTGCACGAGCCCACCTGGGCACCCACTTTGTCCCATTTTTCCCGTGCAGGGACTCCCGGGGCCAGCTGGCACTGAGGGGCAGAAGGTGAGTCCAGCCCACCTGTGTGTCCTGGCATCGCAGCAGGGACACCTGGGATGGTGGCAGAGGTGCCAGAACCTGCCAGTACCAACCTGGGCACCTTGGGTGACACCACGGGTGACAATACGAGTGGCACCACGGGTGACATCTGTCTGTCCTGCAGGGCCAGAAGGGTGAGAAGGGCGACGGGGGACTGCAGGGCAAGCCAGGGCGCCCTGGGCGTGATGTGAGTAGTGCTGGGTGGTACCTGGGCACCCCCAGGGCACACCTGGGCGTCCCCCAGGTGGGGGCATCCAATCCCAGGACCCTTTACATGCCACTCCCCCCCTGGCAGGGCCGGCCTGGAGAGATCTGCGTGGTGGGGCCCAAGGGCCAGAAGGTACCTGGAGGGTTTGGGGGGTGACAGGTGGGGCACCTGGTGGCACTGCCAGCACTGCCACCCCCCCATTGTCCTCCAGGGTGACCCCGGCCTCGTGGGACCTGAGGGGTTGGCCGGTGAACCAGGACCCCCAGGCAAGCCAGGCTCTCCAGGGATTGGCATTCCAGGGAAGCCGGTGAGGATCCCCTGTGCCAGGGCGGTGTCCCCATGGTGGGCACTGCCATGGGAGGGGCGAGGTGCCACCCCACAGCCAGAGCTGCCCGAGCAGGGCTAACAGCACCCTTTGTCCCTTTCAGGGTGACCCCGGTGGCCCCCCAGGTGCCAAGGGAGAGAAGGTGAGTGGAGGGAAAGAGATCCCAGCTGCCCCCCATGCCCAGAGCCGGCCTGGCAGGGCAGGGGGGGCTGTGCCATCCCATCCACAGCCGGATGAGCTGGAGCCATCACCCATCAAACCCCATCTGGGTGACCCAAGGTCATGGTTTGGGGGGGCACGAAACCCCCCGGGGGGTGGGGGATGACAGGGGTGTCACAGGGGGCCCAGGGTTGTGCTGTTCCCCCTTGCTGAGCTCAGCTTTTCCCATCTCTGGCTCCAGGGCAGCCCGGGAGCTCCTGGACCCGGAGGATCGCCTGGGACACCCGTGAGTAGCGGGAGCCGGGAGCCAAACTCCGGGGTCAGGGCCGGGTTTCTTGGCTCGGGGTCGGGGCTGCTTTTGGCCGGAGAGGTGACGGGATCCGAGCTCGGGAGCCGGGAGGGTTTTAGGAAAAGCGGCAGCCGAGCTCGGGGCCAGGATCAGCCCGTGACGCGACTGGTGGCCAGCTGAGGGGTGCTGGTGGCACTACTGGGGCACACCCTGGGCTCCCTGAAGCAGCCCCGTCCTCTCTTTTCTCCCGCAGGGTCTCCCCGGAGTCCTGGGGCCCAAAGGAGACAAGGTGGGTGCGGTGACAGTGACAGTGACAGGGTGGCCTTGGGGCTACCCGGGACATCCTGGGGGTCATCCCCCAGCCCCCCAGGCTCTGTCTCACTGCTCCCACCGGGCAGGGCGAGCCGTGCGAGGTGTGTCCCACTGTCCCCGACGGGATGCTCGGTGCCATCGGAATTCCCGGCAAGCCGGGACCGCGGGGAGAGCCCGGAGCGCCCGGCAGGGACGGGGTCTCTGTGAGTCCGAACCCAAAGATTAGTGGGGTGGAGGGCAGAGCGGTGTCACCCCAGCATTCCTGATGTTCTCTCTGTTTTCCCCAGGACAAACCCGGCCCCGCGGGACCCAAAGGGGACAGGGTAGGTGACACGGGTTGCGCTGGGCTGTCCCCAGCCGGAGCTGGGCGACACCGAGCACCGTCCAGCTCCTGCTTTTCCTTCCCAGGGAGATCCAGGCATCCAGGGGGTGAAAGGGGAGAAGGTGAGTGTGTGACCCACCGTGCCACCCCCCGGCTCGGCCGCTGCAGCCCCTGAGCTGTCCCCTCCTGCCATGCCAGGGGGACTCGTGCCAGTCCTGCGACCTCCGCGTCCTCGCCGCGCTGCGCCGCGACCCCGCCGAGGGGCTCGAGGGGGAGCCGGGGGTGCTGCCGGTGAGTACCGGGGTGCGACCCCCTTGTCCCATGGCGGGGTGACCCTCGGGGATGCCGTGGGTGCCGCTGAGTGACCATGTGGGTGTCCAGCAGGGGCTCTCCGGGCTGGCTGGGATCAAGGGCGAGAAGGTGAGTGACCCCCCGCCCCTTTTTCACATCCCTGGGAGGAGCGGGAATGGCTGGATCATCCCAGGTTTGGCTGATCCTGACCCTAATTCTGATCCTGGCCCTAATTCTGATCCTGACCCTGCTCCGTTTCAGGGGGACAGCGGCCATGTGGGACCCACGGGCAGACCGGTGAGTGGGGACACTGTGGGGGTGCAGGGTGGGGAGCCCAGGAGTGCAGGAGGGGTCTGGGGGTGCCGGAACCGAGTTCTCGGGACCGTCGTGTCACCTCTGCTGTGGATTCTTGGTGCAGGGAATCCCGGGAGAGAAGGGAGATCCAGGTGCGCGGGGACTCAAGGGAGAAAAGGTGAGCCCAGTCCTGTCCCTGGCCTGGGGCCACCCCTGTCCCCGCCACCTCCCCAGCTGACACCTGGTGCCGTGAGCCCCCCGCTGCCGCCGTGTCGCGGTCCCCAAAGCCACCTTCCATCCGGGATGTCCCTCCGCAGGGCGACCAATGCGGGCAGTGCCCTCCCAGCCCTCAAGCCCTCCAAGGGACAGCGACAGTGATGGCAGTGCCGGGGCCACCGGGTGAAAGGGGTCCTGCGGGCCCCCCGGGCAGAGCGGTGAGTGCCCCTCGTGCCCTCCGTGCCCATTTTTTTTGGGGGGATGCCCCATCCTGACCCATCCGTGCGTTTCCCCAGGGCAGACCCGGCGGCGCTGGCGAGAAGGGACAGAAGGTGAGAGGGGCTCGGGGTGGCTCGCAGTGGTGGCAGAGGGTGCTGTGACCCCCGTGCGCCGTGTCCCCTCCCTCCCCGTGCCAGCCTTGTCCCCTCTCTTTGCCAGGGCGACGCTGGCAGCCCCGGGGACCCGGGCACGCCGGGCATGACCGGTGTCCCAGGGCTGTCGGGTGAGCCTGGCATCAGGGGACCAGCCGGCCCCAAAGGCGACAAGGTGAGATTGTGACGCATTTTGGGGGGAGCTGTGCCCCGTCCCCGCGGTGTCACCCACCCTTCCATCCCCTCTCCTGTCCCCTCCCCGCAGGGAGACTCCTGCCAGCCCGGCCCCGCCGTGCTCGGCGACCTCTCGGACGTGCTGGGCATCCCGGGCCAGCCCGGGCCCCGAGGGGACCAGGGCCCGCCGGGCATCGGCCAACCGGGCAAACCCGTGAGTGCCACCTCCCCACGGCCACAGCCCCTGGTGGCATCGTGTCCTCGGGGTGACCCTGCTGTGTTTTAGGGGAAGCCGGGACTGCCGGGGGTGCAGGGCCCCGCTGGGCCGAAGGGGCTGCAGGTGAGTGGGGGGCTGGGTGTGGGGTCCTGGGACACCTCAGTGCCCCTCTGTGTCCATAGTGGGGTCCTGGGGACACCTCAGTGCCCCTCTGTGTCCATAATGGGGTGCAGGGTGTGGGTTTGGGGTCCTGGGGACACCTCGTTGCCCCTCTGTGTCTGTAGGGTGAGCCAGGACCGCGGGGGATCGGCCAGCCAGGACCACAGGTGGGTTTTGGGGTGCCTGTGTTGTCCCCTGCTGTCCCATGCCGGGTGGCTCTGGTGCCTTTCACACACTCTGCTTTTCCCAGGGAGACCCCGGCAGTCCCGGACCCCCCGGACCCCCTGTGAGTAGAGTTTGGGGTTTTGGGGTGCCCAGCCCTGGCTGATGGGGCAGTGAGCAGTGGGGTCACACCCCTGCCAGTCCCCTGTGTGCGCTGTGGTGGCTTTGGGGACAGCGTTGTCCCCTTCCTGTGAGGAACCAACACCCTGTCCTGCCCCCAGGGCCCCCCCGGACCGCAGGGAACCCCGGGGATGGCAGCAGAGAAAGGTGCCAAGGTAAGGGAGCGTCCCCCCGCCCTCGGGTGTCCCCCGTGCTCCCCATTCCTGCTGTCCTTCCTCTGCAGGGATCTCCGGGCCCCAAAGGTGCCACGGGACCGCCTGGGCCACCAGGGAGCAGCGTCATAGGGCCACCGGTATGTCCTGACCCCCACGATGGGCAGTGCCACCCTGCTGGCACCTTGATCCTGGGGCAAGCCAGGGAGTTTTCCTCACCTTCCTCTTCCTCGCAGGGCCCCGAGGGGCAGCGGGGGCTCCCCGGGTCCAGTGGGCAGCCGGTAGGTGCCAGGGGCTGTGCCAGGGGGCTGTGGGGTCACACTGTGGGTGTGGGGGGTGCCAGGGGGCTGTGGGGTCACACTGTGGGTGTGAGGGACACCGGGGGCTGTGGGGTCACACTGTGGGTGGGGGGCACGGGCTCTGCCCTAACGCCCATCTCTGTTTTGCTCTGGCAGGGGGAGAAGGGTGCCCAGGGAGAGAAGGTGAGTCGGGGTCCGGGTGGAGCCGTGCCCCCCGTGCCACCCCCTGCCCGCCCTGCCCTCACCCCCTCTGCCCACAGGGAGACCCCGGCGACTGCTCCTGCCCCTCCAGCCCCCGCCAGGACCCCAACTACAACGGGATGCCGGTGAGTGTCACCCCCTCCCCCCGGGCTCTGTGTCACCCCCCGACCCCGTTCCGCCCCCCCCTGAATTCCCTTCCCCGTGTCTCATCCCCAGGGAGCCCCAGGATTATGGACCGGGATGTCCTGGCAGCCCCAGCCTGGCCCGCAGGTCGGTGCCACCCCCGCCGTGCCCCCTCCCACCCGTCCCCCCTCACCCCTCGCCTCTCTCTGATTGTTTTTTTTGGGGTCTTGCAGGGTCCCCCCGGAGCTCCGGGCCCTCCTGGCCCACCCGGTGCCCCCGGTCGCCAGGTGAGCGATGGGAGAGGGGAGCAGCAGCAGGAGAGCGGGGCCGATCCTGATCTTTTAGGGCGGGCTTTGAATATTGAATATTCAATATTCCCTTTGGATTTAGGGAATGCCGGGACACAACGGCTTGCCCGGACTGCCTGGACCGGCTGGAGACCTGGTAGGTGGTGACAATTTCCATGGCAATGTCCCCCATGGCGGGGACAATCCCTCTCTCCATCCCTCCATCCTTCCATCCCTCCTTCCACCATCCCACCCCTCCATCCCTCCCTCTTTTCCAGGGACCTCTGGCCGTCATGGCTGAGAGGAACATCGAGGTGCTGAAGGTGAGATGCTGGGGATGTGGGGTCACCGTCCTGTCCTGGGGGACCCCTCGGGGCACCCCTGACTCCCCTTTTCCCCCCCCAGACTCTCTGCGGGGACTGTGCCCAGCTTCAGGCAGCTCTGGAAGCTCCCAGGGGAGTGGAGGGGGAGAAGGAGGATGGGGGCATGCCAGGTGCCCCTGGCAGCGAGAATTGTGCCCGGGTGAGTCTTCAACAGCTCTGGGTGGGAATTTCGGTGCCCAACATCCCCTTGGCCCTGCGGGGGTGAGGCTGGAGAGACGCTCCCGAGTCCCCGGGAATTGGATTTTGTGGGACCTGGGGGAATCTCCGCGTTTTGGGGACACTCTGGGAATGCGGGCAGGCTCCCGGGCACAGCTCTGAGGAGGGACAGGCTCGTCCTCTGTCGCAGCTGGGTCACTCCGGGGTTTTTATTTTCCAGTGCTTTGCCCAATTCCCGCGAGCGGAGGAGGCTCGGGTGAGTGACACTGATGTCCTGGTCCCCAGGGGTGGTCCCTGCTGGGCATCCAGCGCTGTCCCGCAGCTGTGGGGGGCTTTGGGGAGGCTTGGCAGGGTGGTGGGCGGTGGGCGGTGCCATCCCGGGGTGCTGATGTGTCCCCACTCCCCGCAGGGTGACAGTCCCGACTGCGCGGGTGATCCCGGGCTGCCGGGAGCCCCAGGAATGCCAGGAGAGAGAGGAGAGCAGGTGGGTGAGCCCCAACCCATCCCCGCACCCTCTCCTGCCATCCCAGCCCTTCCTGGGAGCTCTGGCAGGTCCCGTGGTGGCCCTCGGGGCTGTCCCCACCTCTGTGGTCACACCTGGCACCCCCATCCCTCCCCAGGGCTCCCCAGGACTGCGTGGACCTCCAGGACCACCCGGACCCATCGTAAGTAGCCCTGCCCGGGGTGTGGGGAGGGGATTTTTGGGGGGCTCGGAGCCCCTAAAAACAGGTAGCCAAAGGGGCCTGGCACCCTGCCCTGAGGCCGTGGTGACAGAGGCACAGGTGTGACATGGCATGGCACGGATGTCCCCACGGAGGCTGGAGAAGGAGGTGAAGCTGCTGCCAGCCCGGAGGTGGAGCAGGAGCTCCGTGGCACCCCCAGGGCTCAGCCCAGGCTCCCCCAGCGCCTTTTCCAAGCTGTGACCTCCCTGTTTCTCCCCTCAGGGCCCCCCAGGCTTTCCCGGAACGCCGGGCGCACCCGGACTGCCCGTAAGAACCCAGCACGGCTCCGCTCTGTGCCCTGTGTCGCTGTCGCTTGGTTTGCCTGTGTCCCTTGTCGCTGTCCCCGCCGGGAGCAGCCGCAGCACAGCTGCCCCTCCCCTTCCACTCCATCTCCATCCTGCCATTCCCGCTCCTCCATCCCAAACCAGGGGGTCCCGGCGGACCCGGCGTTCGCGGATCGTCTTCCTCAGCTCAGGGTCCCGGTGCTGGCACTCGCCACCTGCCGGGTCCCTTCGCCACCGCGGGACCTGGTGCAGCTCGGCGGCTCCAGGTGTGCCAGGGACCTGCCACCTCGGCGGGGTGACCTGTCACCAGGGATGGTCACCAGGGACACCCCTCGGGGGGACCAGGAGGATCCCATGTGTGGCCAGTGCTGCCTGGGCTCACCCTCCTCCTCCTCTGGTCACTCGTCTGTGGTCACTCATCATCTCCATCCTCATCCTCATCCTCATCCTCATCCTC